GGCGGGCGGGGGGGGGGACTTCGGCTGGGCCAAAAGCGCCGTCGTTTTCAAATAAATGGCAAGAGTAGGAGGAGGAACCTGTCCTGTTAATGAACTGAAGAGACGTATTAAGTAAACACTATGACTTTATTTGGGTCCTGATTCAGATAATCGGACTGTAAGAAAACCAAACCAAAACAAAGCGTAGACGGGCCGAGGTCCGCCGTGGTCTCCCACGGCTCGGGCTCCAGGCTCGCCGAGTGCGGCTGCCAGACTGTTGACATCTGGGATGAAGTGATTCAGGAAAACCTGCTGAGCTCATCAGCACGGGAAGCAGACGTGATACATTGTTTTCTAAAACGGCAACATTTGCTTTAAAACAATCCTGAAAGCGTTGTTTCAAGCCGGCCAAGTACATTCCTACTGTCTTCCTTGGGAAACTCCTCCACTGTCCTCGCGGGCGGATTAACTTTAATATGATGGATTGCTCATGGGGAGGAATCCGGCCAAGGAGCCCACGTCTAGTGAGCGCAGATTTTATTCATTGTAACCAAGAACTTTGAAAAATTAGGAGCTAAAAATGGACTCGGATGTGTAGGAGTTGAAAAGTTAGGACCTAAACATGGACATCGATGTGTATTAGGTAGCGAGCTCCCCGTCCTGGGGGCTATTCGAGTAGAGGCTGACGTCGTCGCTGCAGTGGTGCTTCTGAAGGTGCCTGGGAGATTGGGGGGCTGAGGGAAACCGACAGCCTGGGCTGCTTCAATGGGGCTGCCGTCTGACGCGCTGGTAACGGGTTTCTAGTTCAAACCCAGCAGAGCACAAATAGTTTGGGTCAGTGGTTTTCAAAGTGTGGTCCTGGGCCAGCAGCCTTGGCCGTAAACTTTGGGAGTTGGAAACACGAATTCCCTGTCCCCACCCCAGACCTGCAGAATCAGAAATTCGGGAAGGGGGTCGGACCTCCCTTTTTATAAGCCTCCTGGGTGACTGATGCCAGCTGAAGTGTGGGCGCCCTGTTCTCGAAGGAGGTGTCCTGCAGGGTGGGGCCTCTGTGCCATCCTGGCGGTTGGTGGAGCCAGGCATGGGGACACTGCAGCCTCGTGGGTTTGGGGCGCTTCCCTCAGATCAACTTCCTCTCAGAACAGCCTCTCATTTCCTGATGCCCC